TCGGTGTGGCTCAGTAGTTGAGCATTGATCCATGCACCAAGAAGTCACTGGTTTGATTCTCAGCCAGGTTGTGGGCCAAATTCCCAGTGAGGGGCATACAGGAGGAGGCTATGTTCTCTCTCATCGATGTTTTTCTTTTTTCCATTATCTCATTGATGTTTCTCTCTCTCTCTCTCCTCCTCTCCCTTCCTCTCTCTCCAAAATCAACAAAGAAAAAAAATATATATGTATATAAAAATACATACATATTTATATTTATATATATGTATATTAACTATATACATATTTATATATATGTATATAAAAATATATACGTACTTATATTTACATATGTAAATCCTGCCTTCTACCCAGTAATATATGTCTAGGAGGGTAAGCCATAGTTTTGCTGTGGCTTCCAGTGCTCCCAGAACTTACCCATGTCTCCCTGGGGTTATGTGCCTAGTTTGAGATGGGGACAGCTGCTTGGGGTGGGGACTGTAGCTGTAGCTTGTGCCTGAGGTGTGCTGATGCCTGATGGGGTGAGAAAGTCTCGTGACTTGCAAGTTCTCGGTTACCCGTGAACTTAAGTTAGTGCATCTTTTCTGCTGGTGGGGCCAGGCATGTGATAAGGGTGTTCCTTTTTTGGGTCAAGAGGCTGCAAACACTTGCTCCCTGAAGGAAGACAAGCTTCTGGTGTCCTAGGGATGTGTTGCTCCATTGCCTGCTATCAGTGTTGGCCACAGTTGTTTATAGACAAAATAGTGAAGCTGAAAGTTACCTGGAATTTATGACTCTGACTGTCCCTCTCCTAGGCCCTCAGGAAAGCAGAGAGTTTGAAGAAATCTCTCTCTGTCATGGAGAGCAAAGTGAAGGCCCAGACTGTGCCAAACAAGGACGTGCAGAGGGAGATTGCTGACCTTAGTGAGGTAGGATGGCTTCCTCTCTCCTCAGGGCCTGCTTAGTGTTGAATCCTGGGTCCGATGAGTCAGACACACCCTGTTCTTGAAGAACCCTCTCTTCTTGATTCTCAGTGCAGTGGGCCTTCGGACTGACTTCTGTTGTCATGTAGCTTGTGGATCCTAGCCTGCGGACCCCTGGAACCTGCCTGCTGCCCCCATTGCCAGTAGTAGGCGTGTCCGTCACAAATACAAGTGGGCATTGGTGTTGAGGGAGTTGGGGGGGGGGTACTGTGAGTGCCCAGTTACCAGGCTTTCTGGTGTTTGTTAATATTCAGGGACTCCAGTAAGCCCTTCACAGGCTGTGTTCACTGCCTGGTAGGGACCAGGTCTTACAGGGTTCCCATCTCTTTATTCTACCTATTTCTTTTCAGCCCTGGTCATTAAAACTGCTATAGTTACTCATAAAGTGACTGGCCTCAAGGCCAGTGGATACCTTTATGTTTTTTTGTTTTCTCTCTCCTGGACACTACTCGGGGAGGACTTTTGTGTTCAAAGCCAGAAGAGAGGAGTGGGCTGGGCCGAAACCTCACATCTTAGCTCTTCGTGGTTTATATCTGAATGGTCTTCCGGTTCTGGTTCCAGGCCCTGGCCACTGCTGTTGTTCCCCAGTGGCAAAAGGATGAATTCCGGGAGAATCTCAAATCCCTGAAGAAGATCATGGATGACCTAGACCGGGCTAGCAAAGCTGATGTCCAGAAGCGAGTGAGTCCTGGCAGTGCTGGTGGCTGGAAGGGATTCAAGGGGATTTACCCAGCAAAAACTGTGCAGAGTGCTGTCTGGGTTTCACTCTGGGCCTTGGACCTGAGACTTCTCTTCTGGACTTCCTTCTTTGTAGGTGTTGGAGAAGACAAAGCAACTCATTGACAGCAACCCCAATCAGCCCCTTGTCATCCTGGAGATGGAGAGCGGCGCATCAGCCAAGGCAAACCAGGGGCTGGGGCTTCAGGCACTGCTCTGTGCTTGTCCATTACTTATCTGCTCCTCTTGGGGTCGCATCAGCCCTCTTGGTGGCTGAACTTTGAATTTTGTGGCTCTGAGTGGAGTAGGTGCCTGAGGGTCCACTCACTGGGATTGAGATTAGGCTGAGCCATAGAGCGATCTGGTGGCTCCTGAAGGGGGGAGGCAAATTTAGAGAATCAGAGTGTGGCCAGGCTCTGTGCTTGGGTCCTCCTTGCAGGCTCCTAGGACCAGCACCTGCTCTAGGAAAGGGGGTGGGGGTGAGGGGCAGGGAAAGCTCTGAGAACTGAGCTCTGCAAACTTGTTGCACTTATGGGGAGCATGGCCCTGTTCCCCAGGGCCATGGCCCTGATGCCAGGTTCTCCCACAGGCCCTGAATGAAGCCTTGAAGCTCTTCAAGACACATTCCCCGCAGACCTCGGCCATGCTCTTCACAGTGGATAATGAGGCTGGCAAGATCACGTGCTTGTGTCAAGTCCCCCAGGTCAGAATACCCTGCAGCCCTGTGACAGTGGGGAGTGGTGTCTGAGCTTTCCTGAGGGAGCTCGGTTCTTACGGCTATTTGCCTAACCCCCCTTGTGTTTGTGCAATCCACATCAGACATGGACCTTCTCCCTCTTTTTCTCTTTTTTATCTTTATTGTAAGTTTTACAGGTGTTCCCGATTTTCCCTCCATTGATCCCCTCCTCCCTGCTCCCACGCCCCCTCCTGCCTTCCCCATCTCTCTTTTTTTAAATTGACTTTAGAGAGAGGAGGGAGGGGGAGAGAGAGAGAGAACGATTGATGTGAGAAACACCAATCAGCTGCCCCCCACACACAGCCCAACCAGGGATCGGACCCGCAACCCGGGTATGTGCCCTGACCAGAAATTGAACCTACCACCTTTTGGTGCATGGGACAACACTCCAACCAATGGCCACACCGACCAGGGCAAAGAAATGTCCCCTCTGCTCACCTTTTGGTCACCTCCAGCACCCCTTACCTTTAGGCCATCTCCTTGGATGTGTTTAGCTGTCCTGGCTGATAGCTGGCTTTGTCACTCAGTATGCCTTGTCTTAACCATGGTACCAGCTGCAGGGTCTGCCTCAGCCTCCGGCAGCATCACCCAGGGCAGGTGTGGGTGTCTCTGGTTCCCCCATCCTTTTTCTTTTTTTAAAAATATATTTTTATTGAGTTTTAGAGGAAGGGAGAGAGAGATAGAAATATCAATGAGAGAGACACATAAATCAGCTGCCTCCTGCACACCCCCAATGGGGATTGAGCCCGCAACCCAGGCATGTGTTTTGACTGGGAATCGAACCAGCGACCTCTTGGTCCATGGGTCGATGCTCAGCCACTGAGCCACACTAACTGGGCTCCCAATCCTTTTTCTTTCCCTCCCCTCTCCATGCTTCCCTGAATCCCATCCTCTGTCCTGACTCCCACTTCATCTTTCTGTCTTCCAGAATGCAGCCAACCGGGGCCTGAAAGCCAGTGAGTGGGTGCAGCAGGTGTCAGGCCTGATGGATGGCAAAGGTGGTGGCAAAGATGTGTCAGCTCAGGCCACAGGCAAGAATGTGGGCTGCCTGCAGGAGGCGCTGCAGCTGGCCACTTCCTTTGCCCAGCTTCGACTGGGGGATGTGAAGAATTGAGGGGAGGGGCTGCTTCCACTGGGAAGCGTCTCCCCCACACCCCGAGGTATCTGACCAGCCAGGAGCTCTCCATCTGCTACATGGATATTTGAATCTTGGGACCTCTAAATAGCCTCATCTCTCCTTCTAACCCAGCAGTAGCTGGAACTCACTTGGGTGCCAGCCTGTGGCTCAATGCCCATGTTACATTTCTACCTGGAGCCCTGCACCTCAGCACGATCTGTGTAGAACCACTATCCCATTATTGCTATTTATCGTCATGCTCATGTCTATAGATCTCTACAGACCCGAGGCTCTGGGTCTGTAGAAAGGAATCATTTTTGCTGCAGAGAATAAAGGACCATGTGCAATACTTGATGATATCGTGTGATTTCTATCACTGTGCCTGCCCCCCCCCCCCCCCGCCACAATAGGTAACCCCTGTGTAACAGCCTGTGGTTCCCTGGTTACAGTCCTTGCAGAATCTAGCTCCATACCCCTGAATTTTGGGAATGGCTCCTAGGATTGGCTCAAGATGTTTGTGGAGGTGGCCCACAGAATGGAGTGGGAGTGAGGTGGAGAGAGGCATTAATCAACAGAGGGGCCACAGAGATACTGGAAGCAGAAAGAAGCTCCTTTCTTGTACCCTTTTGTGGGAGACTCTCCCCATTTCTTTGGCCCATGTCCCTCTTCCCAATCCCTTTGAGGTGTTCTCTGATACAGGAGGTATTTAGAGTACATCACTTGTCTCCCCCAACTTCTTTGCCCCTTCATCCAAAGATGGACAGTGAGCATGGAGACACCCTACCTGGCCCTGAACCAGTTCACCCAAGCCTGATGAAGACAGATGGGTTTGAAAACGAGTGTGCTGGGAGGTTAAAGGTGTTGCTTACCTATACTGGCTTCAGCTGATTTCATGTCCCCTGGGTCCAGCAGGCAGGCTGACCTGAAGGGAAGAGGAAAAGGGCAGGTCTGTGCTGGGAGAAGCAGCAGAGGCCAACTGTCACAGGCAGAGGGAGGGCGCCAACGCCTTGGATTCAAACATGCCAGATGAGTGTTGGGGATACGAAGAGCTTACACAATCCAGGGCAGGAGAGAGATCATTCCAATCACTCAACAAGCGTTTATGCCAGCCAGGGTACTGAGGGTACAGGAGTGACCAAGACAAAAAGTCATTGCCCTCTTGGGTAAGGCAGTGGGGAACACCTAAAACAGTTACACAAATAAGTGTAGAATTGAAATAATTACAATCTTCATAAGTGAAAGGAAGTAGACATACACCCGGGGATTGCCGTGGTCCGGGAAGCTAGAAGTCAGTCGGGCCAGTTCAGGTCCCACGGCCTGCCGAGTGAGTCCACCCAAAGAGCCGTCCTGTCCTTTGCGGCAGCGCCTGGGCTGTGCCGCGCTCGCCGTTCGCTCTCCAGGACGGTAGGGGGCGGTGCGGCGCCGCTCGCCACTATCCCGACAGACCTCGCGAGGGCGCGCGGCGGAAGCAGCTCGCACGCCGGACGCCGCCATGCCCGGGGACCACCGCCGCATCCGCGGGCCCGAGGAGTCGCAGCCGCCGCAGCTGTACGCAGCCGACGAGGACGAGGCACCCGACGCCCGCGACCCCACTCGGCTGCGGCCCGTGTACGCGCGCGCCGGGCTGCTGAGCCAGGCCAAGGGTTCGGCCTACCTGGAGGCGGGAGGCACTAAGGTCCTGTGCGCCGTGTCCGGCCCGCGCCAGGCGGAGGGCGGCGAGCGCGGCGGCGGCCCGGCGGGAGCGGGAGGCGAGACCCCGGCCGCGCTGCGGGGACGCCTGCTCTGTGACTTCCGCCGCGCGCCCTTCGCGGGCCGCCGGCGCCGCGCGCCCCAGGGCGGCGGCGAGGAGCGCGAGCTGGCGCTGGCCCTGCAGGAGGCTCTTGAGCCGGCCGTGCGCCTGGGCCGCTACCCGCGCGCGCAGCTCGAAGTGTCAGCTCTGCTGCTGGAGGACGGTGGCTCGGCCCTGGCCGCTGCGCTCACGGCCGCCGCGCTCGCCCTGGCCGACGCGGGCATTGAGATGTACGACCTGGTGGTGGGCTGCGGCCTAAGCCGCGCTCCTGGGCCCGCGCCCACCTGGCTGCTGGACCCCACGCGGCTCGAGGAGGAGCACGCCGCCGCCGGTCTCACTGTGGCGCTCATGCCTGTGCTTAATCAGGTGGCTGGGTTGCTGGGCAGTGGGGAAGGGGGTCCGACCGAGAGCTGGGTCGAGGCCGTGCGCATGGGTCTCGAGGGCTGCCAGCGCCTCTACCCTGTACTGCAGCAGTGCCTGGTGCGGGCTGCCCGTCGGAGGGGCGCCGCTGCCCCGCCTTGAACCAGAAGCCAGAGGGATGACAGATGCCCAGGCCTGTGCTGCTCCTGCCGCCCCTTGAAAGGACCTGCACCATTGGCTTCCAGACCTCACTGCCCTGAGAACTCAAGAGCCTAGAGAGGGTCTCCCTCCAGCGTCTCGCTGTTCTCCCTCCAGGACGGTAGGGGGTGCACACAGAACAGATGCACTGGGCAGCTGTGTTGGAACAATTTTTTACAAACTGTTCTGTTAAAGACACATTTCTACTTGAGCTGGATCCTAGCCCCGACGCAACTTGAAAAGGATTTCAGCTGGACTTACGTGGAAAACGGGACCAGAAGCTCTCTGACTCCCAAGTTGGAAAGGACTTAAGCTGGGCTTACCTGGAAAATGGGACCTGAAGCTAGTAACTGTTTTGTAAAGGATGGATCCCATCCAAGCCAGCCTGTGACTCCCACTTATGTAACTGGGCTGTTTTTGAGAGAACGGACAAGGGGGCTGTGCCTTCTCACTTTGAGTTGAAACAAAAACTCTTTTTATATCTGAAAAAGCCTTATAGTGTGGTTCTTCTTGGTACAGGATTTAAAAGAGCAACGCTCTCCTGAGCTGGGTAATGTGTTCTTGGACTCCTGGTGTCAAGGACTAGGGACAGCATTGTCTAACATGTGTTCTGTCCCTTAATGACAGGCTGAAATAGAAGGAGTAGCAGGGGTTCATGTATGGAAATGCAGCTTTAGGGTCTATTTTTGAGAACCTACTCCTCAAGTACCAGTCAGGGCCAATGCTGAGGTGTGATAAGTGTGGGGAGGGTTGTGTGGCCCCAGGAGCATTCTGGGTGCGCACCCAGCCTCTGGTTTGGGCAAGACCACAGCTCAGATTTGGGTAGCTGGAAAGGATTTGGCTCTCAGTAGAAGCCAGATCCCACCCTTCCTTGGCATTATGCATAACAGCATAGCTGATAAGTAGGGGCCTGGACTGGCTTCACTATCTTGTGTCCCTTATCCAGTCTCAGTTCCTGGGAGAGACCAGATGAACTGCCAGGAATGGGAGCTGGATGTCGGGAATCCAGATGCACTCTGGTCATTCTGTAGGGCAGAACCAGCCTGGCTGACAGACCACAAGGGTGGGATCGTCCCTGGGCGGCTCCTGAGCCCCATGGGTCTGGATTGGAGGAAGGCAGGGCAGCCTGGTCCCCTCTCAATGCCCTGGTTTGATACGAGCTTCTGAGCTTGAGTGTCCTGGGCTTGCTCAGCTTCTCTAGGAGGGGCTGGCCTGGAGCAGCCCAGGGAGCAGAATGAGGCTCAGAAACCACACCAAGAACCAGTGACCAGGGGAAAATACAAATTTCAATTTTTTTTCCCTTCTGACATACATATTTCCAGAGCAGATCTGAAATAACAACGTATCATGTCAGCAAGAGACAAGGTAGAAAGAGGACATAGACACCCCTATTCTGAAGGATGGCTTGGTAAGGTGGATGGAGCATCTGGAACCAAAGGGAGTTATGTGGGACACTTGCTGAGGACCTTACAGCTCATTTTCAGATGGGGTGGGGGTGGGGTAGGTTATTTCCTGTATACCACTGGCTGGAGAAAGCTGTCTGGGCCCACTGCTGTCCGATGTTCCATACCCGGATGGGACTGGTGGGGTCTCGAGGGGAGGGGCATCCAAAGCAGTACCTATAGTCAGAGAGCTGATGGTGCTTTGGGGAGGTGGGGGGGGTCTCCAGCTTCTTGCAGGACAGCCCCAGCTTCATGAGGATGGTGAGCTGGTGCTGGGCTGTAGTAGTTCTCCATCTCATCCCTGCCAGCTTCCGGACTATCATCCAAAGCTAAAGCCACCGTTACGGGGAGGCTGCCCAGCTGGTCTGGTGGAGCTGTGCCTCTACTTCATTGCCTCCGCTCCGGAATGGGTATCTCAGGTTACACAGGTGACACCAGGAGGCCTTAAAAACACACTAGGCAAGGAAGGGAATCATCTGAGAAATTGCCTGGAGCAGATGAGCCCTGGAGGGATTTTAACCTACTGACTGCCCTCCTGGTCCCATGTATGATTCTTCATCTATAGGAAAAACAGAAGCAGGACTCTGACCCAGATGGCTGAGAAGCACAGTATGGCTAGGAAAGAGGGCCATCTGCTAACATCCTCATCTTCCCCTATCCCCACCTCCCTTTCTTGGCAGCTTTGGCAGCTCAGATTCTGAGACCTGGGGACCCAGAACCACCAAACAGAAGAAAGCATTTTCTCCATCTAGCCCAGTATTGCCAGTTGTGACTCAGGCCTGGGAAGCAGTGAAGAGCTCTCGAGCCCAGCAGGTCAAGGGGTAGAGCTGGGCAGAGCAGAGGAAGGGAAGCTTGGCACTGCCAACTCCTCAGCAGCCCCAGTCTTGCTGAGGTGGCCCACCTCAGGGACCCCCCCAATAGAGGAGGAGGATTTGATAGGGCCGGGAACATTTGGGCCCTTTAAGCTGCACAAAAGGCTGTTATCAGATTTAGGTTTGGATATTCTCCATCCAGGAAGATGTTTTCCACAGCGTTCCTGGAGAGCATGGTACCATGTAGATAGCCTAAAGACTGGGGCAGGAAAAGGGCAGAAATCTGGGTTTCATCATCATCATCATTTTATTTTATTTTTTTTATCCTCACCCGAGGACATTGTTGCATTTATCTTCAGATAGAACAGGCGGGAGAGGGGAGGAAGAGAGAGAGAGAAACATCAGTGTAAGAGAGATACATGGAATGGTTGTCACCCACAAGACCCCAACTGGGGCAGAGACAAACTGCAACCAAGGTACGTGCCCTTAGTGGGAACCGAACCCGGAACTCTGGTCCACAGGCCTATGCTCTAACCGCTGAGCCAAACTGGCCGGGGTAGAAATCTGGGTTTTAACAAGCTTACCAGGTGGTTCTTAGGTGAGTGATCTGGATCCATAAAGAATACTTGTGACAGCCCTGGCCGGTTTGGCTCAGCGGTTAGAGCGTCGGCCTGCGGTCCAGAGAGACCCGGGTTCGGTTCCCGCTAAGGGCATGTACCTCAGTTGCAGTTTGTCCCCGGCCCTGGTTGGGTTGTGCAGGTGGCAACTACTTGATGTGTCCCTTTCACGTCGATGTTTCTCTCTCGCTCTCCCTCCCACTCTATCTGAACAAAATATCAAAAAATGTCCTTGGGTGAGGATAAAAAAAAAAAAAAAGAATACTTGTGACATTCCCTCTACAGTACTCAAAGTTGTCCCCCCACTGCTTGCAAGAGAAGATGGTATTTTAGCCCAGAACTGGCCCAGCTGAGCCAACAAAGCCTGAGTTGAGAGGGGATAAGCAGGGCACCGGCTATCTTCTGGGCATTGCCGGTAGTGGATGATAAGCCTCTCTCCGACCACCACTGTGGGCTCCACACAAACCCTAGTTTCTTCCTTGCTCATAGAGAGGCCCTAGAACCCAAACAAAAGGAGGGTGAGGATGGGGGAGGCGCCAGGTCACTCACTCCCTCCTCCAGATCTGTGCTGTCCTCAGAGCTGCCTGCCTCTGGATGGGCCCTCTGGCCCCTGGGCTCCTGCTGGGGTTCAGTGGTTCTGCATGAAGAACCCTTAATTCCAGGGCCCCTGTTCTCTTCACTGTCTTCTGTTCCTGTCCAGGGAGAGTGACCAGTTAATGGCTAGGTTTGGAGGCTCTACCTGACCCCAGAGAGGCCCCCTGATTCTGAGCACTGATGTAGCGTGTCTAGGGCTCGAGAGGACAAGATAGGTTTGGACTGGGACACTCCTCTGGCTGCAGATACCTACTGAGTGAGTGGGGGTCATAAGACAACCTGGAAACCACAAGGATTCTCAAGCCACAGGAACAGCTAGAGGGAGTTGGGGAGGGGGGTGCTGCAGATAGGGAGAGCCCAAGGCAGGACTCCAGGTGCTCCTGTCACCCTCAGGAGTGGGCAAAGCTGGACACCGCTAAGGGTGTGGGGTACCTGACCTGGAAGCTGGTCCCTCTGCTGGTCCATGTGCTCCAGACTCTCCAATAGGCGGTCCACCTGGGCTTTGATCTGGCTCAGCTCCCCCCTGATCAAGTTCAGGGCCTCGGGCTGGACTGTTGGTAGAAGGCCCAGAGTTGGTGCCCACCAGGCCCAGGAGGCAGAGGACAGTGCTGCCAGGGCTCCCAGGCCTGCCCTAACTGCCGAGGGCCGCCCAGCTCCTCCCAGCCTCGTAGACGAGGGCTGTGCCCCTTCACTCACTCTTTATCTGCCTTGGGGGCAGGTGGCTTTTGCTGGGGGCCTTGTGGAGACTGAAGCTGCTCTTGACCCCCATGCCCATGTGGGTCCTCCTGATCTTGACAGGCACGTGGTTGATGGGTGGAGGGATTCTCTGGTATTTATACACCCTAGGAGACAGAGAGGGAGTCAGGCCAACCAGCTCCACTTGTTTTCCCAGAGGACCAAGGAGGCAGGATCCCCTCACCTGTAGGGAACATCTTCCCTGTACAGCTCAGAGTTGCTGTTGTCATACAGGTCGTAGTTATTGCTGCTGCAGCGGAGACAAATGGGGAAAGGGTCACTGTTCTGTGCCAGAGTTCCTACCCAGACTGCAATTTAACTTGGGGAAATAAGTATGAACTTTTCCTTAGAAGCCCAGTATTCTCCACTGGAGGAGCCCCTAGGAACTTGACCAAAGTCACTTTGGAAGACCATAGCAAACCTGCTTCCCCATGGCTGGCCTCTGGTAAGGGGGACCTTCCAAGTGGCAGGAGGGGGACAATTACCCACAGGCTTCTGGCCAGCCAGAGCCAAGCCCTCCAAAAGCTCCTCTGCCTGGCCCAGAGACTGCTAGTCTGGACCTTAGTCTGGCAAGGGATGAAAGGAGAAAGTTAAGTCAGGGCCCACAGCCATGGCAGGGGTGTGAGAGCCTTTAATCCTTGCGTGGGGATCACCAGGATGCAGGGCCCAGTGTGGGCAGGGTGATCCAGGCAGGATGGGGGCTGTGGCCGGGCCACCTTGTCTTTGCTCCAGGTCCTGGGAGAGAGGATGAGCCTGGAAGTTCCCAGGTTGTCACTGCCTGACCTCACCTCCTTCTCTCAATGCACCGTGACCTCCAGGGACCTGGACCCAGGAGGGATGGGGAGATTGGTGGGGAGGGACAACTGGGTCCTGGCTTGGGCAAAAAGGCCCAGTGGGGATACAGCTGCAGGAGCTTCAGGTGCTGCCTGAATTGAGGGGAAAGTGTGGCGATATACGGGGGCAGCAGTTTCTGAAACAACTTTCTGGTACTATGTGCCGTGATCCAGCTCAGGCCCAGCCCACGAGGGGCAATGCCTATGGGGGCCACTGAGGTGGAATGAAGGACACTGGGGGTGAGGTGGGCCTTCCCCCTCACCCCACAGGGTCCCCAGACCTGCAGGTGGGATTTTTCAGCCACCCTTGTCCCCACTTTCTAGCTTCCGGCAGTCAGCAGTCTGGGTGGGCGGCTCCAGGAACTGCAGGGATGCTGATTCCGGTGGTGGGAGGCCCATC